GTGGCTGGTTTCTTGGAACCGGACAGAACTTGTTCGGGGTAGGTGGGATTGGGTGCTAGGACCCCCCACCTGTGTATAGGCCCGGGGCCATCTGGGGCACGGATATTGCTGGGGTGTCGGAGGGGTTTTGCTCGGGAGGCTTCAGGCAGGCTGCTGAAGCGCTCTGTGGGACTGGTTTGTGGCCTGTGTGGAGAGGTCGCCAGTCGGGGGCTGTAAGTAGCCCCGGATTTGAGCAATTCGCCCTGAGTGGACGCCCTTAGCTGTGCCCAGACACGGCCCGGACCGTCACACCATGTCAGCTCCACCTGCAAACAATGGGAGTGGATGGTGTTCAGCTGTCACTTAGCACCTCTCACACCCTGGTCTCCAGTCATACAGCAGCTCAGGCCTACGCCCCAACATGAGGTTTCAATTTCCCATTTCTTTTGGGAAGTGGCTGGCTTCTATTACTGTGGTTGTTTATGATACAATTAAAAGACAGTAACATTTCCCAATGAAACCTCATTTTAAAGAAAAAGGCCGAAGTGTTGCATTTTCAAACCATCAGTGACGTTGCTGTTTCAGGGCTGAAGGAACCGGGTTTCACTCCTGCTCACGGTGTGCGACCGCCAGACACAGGGAGCCTGGGCCAGCCCGTGGCTCTAGGAGTTCAGACTCTAATTGACAGTGAAGGCACTGACATTAGGGCAGGGGAAGAGGGTCAGCCCCATGGATCTGGCAGATACGGGTGCTAGAGGGCAGAGCACTGGAGGAAGTGAGCTGCGTGGCTGCTGATCCTGTAGCTATTTCAGTGGGCGGGGAAGGAGCCCCAGTACCACACTCATGAAATCTTGGCAGCTGTCAGAGCTTTAGATACAGAATCCGGGCTGGGCCAGCAGAGCTGCTCAGAACCTACCTCTCGATTGTGGGGTGACCTAGCATTAGCCTCTCATATCTAGAGCCTCACCTGGATCCCGTGTCAGAAGCTTACCTGTGCAGTTGAATAGAGTACCAGACTGGTTGTAGCCATCCCGGCAGCTGCAGGTGTAATTGCCCGCTGTGTTGTTGCAGATGGAGTTGGGGCCGCAGGGCGATGGGACTCGGGAACATTCATCAATATCTGGTAGGGAGAATTTATATGGTTGGCCAGATGTGACGCTACAACACCAGTGCTCTGCTGCCCTCCCTCCCCCCCCCGAAACACTGACCCAAACCAGAGTGGATCCAGTGGGAATCTTTCTACCTGCCCGGGGGGCTTTTGCATCAGTTACTCTGCCCCGCGCATGAACCAGCTCTCACCATTGCACTGCGCTGCTGGGTCAGTGACGTGCTGCTTCCCAGAACTGGATGCAAAGCTGGGCTTGCAGGGGCAGCAGTGACGCTGTGGAAAGTTGGTGCAGGTGGCTCCCCCATTCCTCACGCTGACCCAAACCCCACTGGATCCAGTGGGAATCTTCCCATCAGCCCCAGGGGCCTTTTGCATCAGTCACTCTGCCCTGTGCATGAACCAGCTCTCACCATTGCACTGCGCTGCTGGGTCAGTGACGTGCTGCTCCCCTGAACTGGTACAAAGCCGGGCTTGCAGGGGCAGCAATGACTCTGTGGAAACTTGGTACAGGTGGTGTCCTTAGCACTCCTCTGAATGCAGATGAGCTCAGCTCTGCACAACAGAGCCTTCTGTTGGTGGGAGGATGGGGGGTGGCTGGGAGAAGGCAGGCGCTTTCCTATTGTTGTAGGGCCACGCGGATGGGCGGAGCCCTGTCAGCTTCTCCTGTTCAGCCATCAGGACCTCTCAGGTGCTCGTCTCCATTCACACAGCACCACAGGGGTCTGCGGGGCTGCGTTATCGGCACCGCAGTTTCTGCTGTGATTCCCCACCTGGGCAGACAAGCTCACTGACTCTGCCTGGGATACAAATCAGCCCGTCCGCCAAGCGGCCCAGGCTGCTACCCAGCAGGCACCTGGGATCTGGGACAGGGCAGATCTAGGTTGCTGGCTCACCCGCTGCCTTGTCCAGGTGAATGCTCCTCCCTGCTAGGGCGTGAGGCTGCAGATGAAGTAACCTGGTAGGTGTAGGACAAGTGGGAGGCTCCATGCGCGCCCCCACAGCTCCCGTTAGCCCTGGTTCCCAGCCAATGGGATCCGTGGAGCCAGAACTTGGAGAGGAGACTGAGTGTGGAGCCTTCCTAAATCCCCTCTGGCTACTCTACGCAGCCCTTCCTCCCTCCCTGGGAGCCGTGAGGAGCTGAGTGGGGAGCCTGCGCTCACCCCGCTGTGCCAACAGCTGCACGGTTAATGGCCTGGTCAGTGGTGCTGAGCAGAACCCCCAGGGCCCCTCCCCAGCCAGATACCCGGCATCCCTGGCTCAACCCTGCGCTGCTGCTCCCCAGTTTCATTAGATGTTCCCGGGTTCGCTCAGGGCCAGATTGTCAGGCAGGATTAAATCCCTTCCTTCCCCTTTACCAGGCAGTGCCAGTAACCCCAGAACTACGTGGGGGGGAGGCCACAGGCCTCCCATTTCTGAAAGAGCATGAGCCTGGCATGTCCATTTTCAGCCAGGGCTGCCTCCTCCTTCCCCCTCTGAGGCCTCCCCACAGCCAAGCCAGCAGGAAGCCTGGCCCATTGGGGGAGCCATGCAGTGCCTCCGCATCAGCCCACGGTGCAGGGGCCTCAAGAAGAGCCCCGGGCCTGTTTCCCTGTCCCCAGGCTCCCCACCTGGCCCAGGGGGAGGGGGTGGTCTCAGAGCCCAAGCCTGGCCAATGTTAGAGCCATGCAGGCAGCTGGAAGGATCCATGGAGCGTCCACTTGCCCTGAGCCGCACCAGACTGTTGGGGACACTGGTCGGGGCCTGCTGGACTCTGGCACCTCACACTGTGAGCAGGCAGAGGGTCTGTGGTTCCCTCCCCACGGCCACAGCCGGGTCTGGGACGGAGCCAAACAGGCAGCTGTAGCCAGTCACTGGTTCACTGCACCTGCCTCGGGTAGGGGCCATGTGGTGTAGGGACATGGGCAGGGGGCTACATTCAGCCTCCCCACAGGCAGTAGGTCGGATTTCAGTGCACCTCTGGCTTGACTGGGGCAGGGTCTATTGGGAAAGAAGGGTGGAACTCGTGGCAGCCAGACAGAGTTCTGTCGACAGAAGGTGTTATTGCCTGTAAACTGTCCTTGCGTCTACACTGCCATGTCGCGGCTCCCCGCTTATGCTAATGAAGCCCGGGAAATTCAAATCCCGGGCTTCATTAGCAAGTGCGGTATGCATACATTACCCCGCTAGTTCGAACTAGCGGGGTAGTGTAGACATATCCCCAGTGACCATTGCCACGTCTTTGCCCTTCCAGAAGCCTCAGTTTCCCATATATGCAACAGACACAATCCTGTTTACTGATCTGCTTTCCTATTATTGTACGGTCACATTATGAGGGGCAGAGCCACGTCAGCTCCACCTGCAACCAATGGGAGTGGATGGTGTTCGGCTGTCACTTAGCACCTCTCACACACTGGTCTCCCTTCATACAGCAGCTCAGGTCACCGTGAAGCTCAGGCTGCTGCCTGGCACAAGCCTGGGATGTGGGACAGGGCGGTTCTAGGGCACTGGCCCATCCGCTGCCTTGTCCCATGCAAGCTCCACCCTGCTGGGATGGTGTGTCTGCTTGAGATGGAACTTGTACCTCCCTGCTGCCCTGCAGACATCCCCCTCTGTTACATTCACACAGTTGCACACCCATGTGCCTTCCCAGGGATGAACATAGGGGCCTGGCCCAAGCTCAGAGGTTTTTGGTCTCGTGGCACCTCCCAGGAACGGACGCGGCCCGTTAGCTCTGCCAGAAGGGACAGTGTGACAGAGGGTTTGGATCTTTTGCATAATAAAAAATCTTCAGTGGCCAGAGAAGAGCTGAGCAAATCCTGGTGGTTTTCAGTGTAGCTACCAAACCAGGATAAAAATAACAAGGAGCATTTTGTTCCTGGGCCACCCAAGGTCAGGGCTGACTTATCCATTAGGCACAGTAGGCACAGTGCCTAGAGCCCATAATACTTTTAGGGGCCCAAGAAAACGTTTTAATTTCTTTTAAAATCAGAAGAAAAAAAATGAACTTTAGGGTCGAAGAAAATGTTTTAATTTTTTTCTCACATCAGAAAAAAAATTAAACTTTTAAGGCCCAGGAAAATCTATTAAATTTTGGCTAAAACAGAAAAAAAAATGTTGAAGTATTTACAGTTATAATAAAAATAATTTTTAATATTTTTTTAATGGAGGAAGGGGCCCAGGAATGCAAAAGTGCCTAGTGCTGACGAAAGTCATAATGCGGCCCTGCCCAAAGTGGAATTTTTGGGTTGTTTCTCTCAAACAAACACCCCAAAGAGTTAATCTGGGTTCGAGCCTTCGCCCCAATGTGAGGTTTCAATGCCCCATTTCTTTTGGGAAGTGGCTGGCTTCTATTAGTGTGTTTGTTAATGTTACAATTAAATTTCCCAATGAAACCTCATTTGAAAGAAAAAGGCCAAAATGTTGCAGTTTCAAACCATCAGCAAAATTATTGTTCCAGGGCTGAAGGAACCGGGTTTCACTCCCTCTCACGGTGTGCGACTGCCAGACACAGGGAGGCTGGGCCAGCCCCTGGCACTGACACTAGGGCAGGGGAGGAGGGTCAGCTCCATGCACATGGCAGATACGGGTGCTAGAGGGCAGAGCACTGGAGGAAGTGAGCTGCGTGGCTGCTGACCCTGTAGCTATTTCAGCAGGCTGGGAAGGAGCCCCAGTACCATCCCCATGAAATCTCTGCAGCTGTCAGAGCTTTAGAGACAGAATCCTGGATGGGCCAGCAGAGCTGCTCAGAACCTACCTCTCCACTGTGGGGTGACCTGGCATTAGCCTCTCATATCTAGAGCCTCACCTGGATCCCGTGTCAGATGCTTACCTGTACAGCTGAATGGGGTTCCAGACTGACTGTAGCCATCCTGACACCGACAGGTGTAACTGCCTAGCGTGTTGTTGCAGATCGAGTTGGGGCCGCAGAGCGATGAGTTTTGGGAACATTCGTCAATATCTGGTAGGGAGCATTCATATGGTTGGCCAGATGTGACGATAAGACACCAGTGTTGTACTGCCCCAGCCCCCACAAACTGTCCCAAACCCCATTGGATCCAGAGGAAATCTTTCCATCTGCGCTGGGGGGCTTTTGCATCAGTCACTTTGCACCACGCATGAACCAGCTCTCACCATTGCACTGCGCTGCTGGGTCAGTGACGTGCTGCTCCCCTGAACTGGTGCAAAGCCGGGCTTGCAGGGGCAGGAATGACTCTGTGGAAACTTGGTACAGGTGGTGTCCTTAGCACTCCTCTGAATGCAGATGAGCTCAGCTCTGCACAACAGAGCCTTCTGTTGGTGGGAGGATGGGGGGTGGCTGGGAGAAGGCAGGCGCTTTCCTATTGTTGTAGGGACACGCGGATGGGCGGAGCCCTGTCAGCTTCTCCTGTTCAGCCATCAGGACCTCTCAGGTGCTCGTCTCCATTCACAGAGCGCCACAGGGGTCCGTGGCGCCGTGTTACCCCCATTTCGGGCCCCATCGGCACTGCAACTACAGCTGCAATTCCCCGCCTGGGCACACACAAGCTCACCAGCTCTGCCTGGGGTACAAAGCAGCGCGGCTGCCAAGCATCTCGGGCTGCTGCCCAGCAGACACCTGGGATCTGGGACAGGGCAGGTCTAGGTCGTTGCCCCATCTGCCGCCTTGTCCCGGTGAATGCTCCTCCCTGCTAGGGTCTGTGGCTGCAGATGAAGTAGCCTGGTAGGTGTAGGACGAGTGGGAGGCTCTGTGCGCCTCCCCTCCCCACCTCCTTTTAGCCCTGGTTCCCAGCCAATGGAATCCGTGGAGCCAGAACTTGGAGAGGAGACTGGGTGTGGAGCCTTCCTAAATCCCCTCTGGCTACTCTACGCAGCCCTTCCTCCCTCCCTGGGAGCCGTGAGGAGCTGAGTGGGGAGCCTGCGCTCACCCCGCTGTGCCGACAGCCGCACTGTTAATGGCCTGGTCATTGGTGCTGAGCCCCTCTTCAGCCAGACACCCGACACCCCTAGTTGGGAAGTGGCTGGCTTCTATTAGTGTGCTTCCTTATGTTACAATTAAAGACAGTAGCAGGATTAAATCCCTTCCTTCCCCTTTTCCAGGCAGCGCCAGTGATGCCGGAACTACAGGGCAGGGGGGAAGGCCACAGGCCTCCCATTTTTGAAAGAGCATGAGCCTGGCATGTCCATTTTCTGCCAGGGCTGCCCCCTACTTTGCCCCTCTGAGGCCTCCCCACAGCCAAGCCAGCAGGAAGCCTGGCCCATTGGGGGAGCCATGCAGTGCCTCCGCATCAGCCCACGGTGCAGGGGCCTCAAGAAGAGCCCCTCGCCTGTTTCCCTGTCCCCAGGCTCCCCACCTGGCCCAAGGGGAGGGAGGTGGTCTCAGAGCCCAAGCCTGGCCATTGTAAGCCATGCAGGCAGCTGGAAGGATCCATGGAGCCTCCACTTGCCCTGAGCAAAGGGACATGGGGTGGGGACACTGGTCGGGGACTATTGTACCTGGGCACCGCACACTGAGGGTCTGTGGTTCCCTCCCCATGGCCACAGCTGGGTCTGGGACAGAGCCAAACAGGCAGCTATAGAGTCTCACTTGTTCACTCCACCTGCCTCAGGTAGGGTGCCTGTGGTGTAGGGACATGGGCAGGGGACTACATTTGGCTTCCCTGTAGCGGGGTGCTGCAACCCCACACACAGGGGCAGTTAGGGGAGGCCCGCGAGAGGGGATTCACGGGCAAGGAGACCCACAGGGAAGCGACCAAAACCTCTGCGCAGGGTCTACGGGTTAGGGACGCCCGCGATCAGTTGGCCCTGGGTGCTGAGAGTGCCGACTGCATCGCCCAACCAGTGCAGGCTGGTGAGGTCACTGCCGCGCGACACGCCCCGGAGACGCCAGGGAACGATGTCAAGGCAGACGCAATTGAGGAGGACGCCGGGGGATGACGTCCCATGCTGGCCTGCCAGGATTTCAACAAGGTAGGCCCCAAGAGGGAAGAGGAGGAGAAGGAGCGGGTCAGGAAAAGGACGGGGATCGGGGACGGAGAAGACTTGTGCCGAGTGAGGTTCCAGGACGGGCAGAGCAGGACTGTCTAACCCGAGAGTTATTGAGTTTAGGGGTCCCACCCACTGAAGAAGGAGCGCTCCCTGTCTTGGGCCCTGGGTGGGGCTCAGGAGAGAGGGTGGGCCCGAGTCCCCCTACTCCACCCCCTTAGTGCCGCAGGCACGATCTGCCAGTGTGATGAAGGCCAAGATTACTCTGGCACAAGATACTCCGTGGGAATCTATGTAACTCGGGGGAGGCAGGGGTGAGGGGAATTATAATAAAGTCACGTCCCGGGCAACGGGCACTGCCTGTGTAACTATTTACACTCCCTCCAGGCAGTAGGTCGGATTTCAGCGCCCCTCTGGCTTGACTGGGGCAGGGTCTATCGGGAAGGCAGGGTGGAACTCGCGGCAGCCCCCCACTCTTGGGAAGGCTCCATGGCCCTTGGCTAGTGCTCAGAGCAACCCCTTCCTTGTAAGCTCAACGGCATTGAGCACCCACCGCAGGGGCCCTCGGGGTCAGTCGCTCTGCTTTGTGCCAGAGCCGGCAATGCCCTTTACACCGTGCAGCTGGGGCAGCGAAGTGCTCCTCCCCAGAACTGGGTGCAAAACTGGACTTCCATGGGATGTAGGCAGGGCAGACTGCTGCGTGCAGACACTTGTCAGTGTTTGTGACAGGAGAAGGCCCAGCTTTTCCCAACAGAATGTCTTTTGATGGGGGAAGGAGGAAAGCCAGGTCCCAGCTGCTGGCATTTGGCATCTGGTTCCCAGCAGGTTTGCAATATGCTGCCCATCCCTAGAAGGCAGCAGTGCTAGTGGCCTGGGGAGCGGGTGCCAGGATGCCTGGGTTCGATTGCTGGCTGTGGGACAGGTAGATGGTGAATGGGGTCCTAGCAGAATTGTCACAGGTTTGACTCTGGATTTCTATCCCCAGCTTGAGGAGGGGAGTAAGGCCTAGTGGTAAAAGACAGAGGCTGATGAGTCAGGACTTCTAGATTCTGTCCCCAGCTCTCCCCCAGTGACCATTGCCACGTCTTGGCCCTTCCAGAAGCCTCAGTTTCCCATATATGCAACAGAGACAATCCTGTTTACTGATCTGCTTTCCATTATTGTATGGTCACATCATGAGGGGCAGAGCCATGTGTCACGTTGCTGAATTGGAGGGAAGCAGCCAGATCGCTGCTGCACCCCTAAGTGGGGGTGTTGGCCCCAGAAATTGGTGTGGGGGGAGCCATGTGGGGTATTGAATGGGAGATTATTGTTTGTTGATCTTATGTACGCTATTTATGTGAGTGTATAATGTCTGTGTGTGTAGGTAGGAATCTGTAATCTGTGTGGAAGCTGAATATTTCTGTGAATATGGTTGAGCATTGCTATGGACAGGCTGAGTAGTGAAGCCCTGTGGAACAATGGCCCTTGATGGCCCAAAGACACACCTAAAGCAGGAGGGCGGAGACCCAAGAGCTGCCAGCAGAGAGGCTGAGGACCAGGTGACCTGCTACATACTAGAAGAGGCCAGGAAGGGTATAAAGAGGCCATGTGGTCGATGCCATTTTGTTCTCAGCTCAGCACTTCATCCCAGAGGCAGCACTGCAGGGATTGAAGAGCCCGGAAGACCTGTGAACCCATCCTGATCGTAGGATGTGCAATAAGAACTTTTAAACCAGCAGCTGCAACATCTCTGCTAGAGCCTGCATCGAGAACTGGGAGATTCGGTGCATGTAACGTACTGTACTTTAATAACCTTACTCTCATGCTTTTCTTTCCTGTAATAATAAACCTTTAGATATAGATTCTAAAGGATTGGCCCAGCGTGATTTGTGGGTAAGGTCCAGAGGGTAAATTGACCAGGGATCTGTGGCTGGTTTCTTGGAACCGGACAGAACTTGTTCGGGGTAGGTGGGATTGGGTGCTAGGACCCCCCACCTGTGTATAGGCCCGGGGCCATCTGGGGCACGGATATTGCTGGGGTGTCGGAGGGGTTTTGCTCGGGAGGCTTCAGGCAGGCTGCTGAAGCGCTCTGTGGGACTGGTTTGTGGCCTGTGTGGAGAGGTCGCCAGTCGGGGGCTGTAAGTAGCCCCGGATTTGAGCAATTCGCCCTGAGTGGACGCCCTTAGCTGTGCCCAGACACGGCCCGGACCGTCACACCATGTCAGCTCCACCTGCAAACAATGGGAGTGGATGGTGTTCAGCTGTCACTTAGCACCTCTCACACCCTGGTCTCCAGTCATACAGCAGCTCAGGCCTACGCCCCAACATGAGGTTTCAATTTCCCATTTCTTTTGGGAAGTGGCTGGCTTCTATTACTGTGGTTGTTTATGATACAATTAAAAGACAGTAACATTTCCCAATGAAACCTCATTTTAAAGAAAAAGGCCGAAGTGTTGCATTTTCAAACCATCAGTGACGTTGCTGTTTCAGGGCTGAAGGAACCGGGTTTCACTCCTGCTCACGGTGTGCGACCGCCAGACACAGGGAGCCTGGGCCAGCCCGTGGCTCTAGGAGTTCAGACTCTAATTGACAGTGAAGGCACTGACATTAGGGCAGGGGAAGAGGGTCAGCCCCATGGATCTGGCAGATACGGGTGCTAGAGGGCAGAGCACTGGAGGAAGTGAGCTGCGTGGCTGCTGATCCTGTAGCTATTTCAGCGGGCTGGGAAGGAGCCCCAGTGCCATCCCCATGAAATCTTGGCAGCTGTCAGAGCTTTAGATACAGAATCCGGGCTGGGCCAGCAGAGCCCACTCCACTGGGGGGTGACCTGGTATTAGCCTCTCATATCTAGAGCCTCACCTGGATCCCCTGTGTCAGATGCTTACCTGTGCAGTTGAATAGGGTGCCAGACTGGTTGTAGCCATCCCAGCACCTGCAGGTGTAATTGCCCAGCGTGTTGGTGCAGTTGGAGTTGGGGCCGCAGGGAGATGGGTCTTGGGAACATTCATCAATATCTGGTAGAGAGAATCTAGATGGTTGGCTGTATGTGATAAGACACCAGTGTTCTACTGCCGCAGCCCCCACACACCGACCCAAACCCCATTGGATCCAGTGGGAATCTTTCCATCCACCCCGGGGGACTTTTGCTTCGGTCAGACTGCCCGGCACATGAACCGGCTCTCACCATTGAGCTGCGCGGCTGGGTCAGTGACGTGTTGCTCCCCAGAACTGGATGCAAAGCCGGGCTTGCAGGGGCAGCAGTGCCCCTGTGGAGAGTTGGTCCAGGTGGTGTCCTTAGCACCCCACGGGATGCAGGCTCTGCGTTACCCCATCTGAGGCCCTGTTGGCACCTCAGTTACACCGGTTATTCCTCTTCTGGGCAGACACAGGCTCACCGGCTCTGTCTGGGCTACAAAGCAGCGCGGCCGCCAAGCGGCTCAGGCTGCTGCCCAGCAGGCACCTGGGATCTGGGACAAGGCAGCTGGCCCATCCACTGCCCTTCCCGGTGAATGCTCCACCCTGCTAGGGCGTGTGGCTGCAGATGAAGTAGCCTGGTAGGTGTAGGATGAGCAGGAGGCTCCATGTGCTCCCCTACAGCTCCTGTTAGCCCTGGTACCCAGCCAATGGGAGCCGTGGAGCCAGAACTTGGAGTGGAGGCTGGGTGTGGAGCCATCCTAAATCCCCTCTGCCTACTGGATGCAGCCCTTCCTCCCTCCCTGGGAGCCATGAGGAGCTGAGTGGGGAGCCTGCGCTCACCCCGCTGTGCCAACAGCCGCACTGTTAATGGCCTGGTCAGTGGTGCTGAGCAGAACCGCTAGGGCCCCTTTTCATCCCGACACCCATAGTCCCATGTATTCTCCACCCTGCTGTGAGGTGTGTGTCTTCTTGAGCTGTAACTTGTACCACCCTGCTGCCCTGCAGACATGCCCCTCTGTTATAGTCATCCAGTAACACGCCCATGCGCCTTGCTAGGGATTCACTTAAGGGCCTGGTCTATGCACAGAAGTTTTTGGTCTGATGGAACCTCCTAGTAACAGACTCGGCCCGTTAGCTCAGGCTGCAGGGGCAGTGTGACAAAGGGTTTGGAGCTTTTGTTTTATCAGAACTTCAGTGTTCAGAACTAATCATGGAAATTTTCAGTGCAGTCAAACAATGTAGCTGGTTTGCATTCAGGTGGTTGTTTTATGTTAGAATTAAAAATGAACAAAATTTCCAAATGAAACCTTATTTTAAAGCTAAAAGCCAGAAGGCTGCATTTTGAAATGGCCGACAACATTCCTGTTATGGGCCTGAAGGATCCAGGTTTAATTCCTGCCCACGGGGTGCTACTTTTGGACACAGAGAAGCTGGGCCAGCTGTTGCCTAAGGATTTCTAACGGACACCAGTCAAGGTGCTGATGCTAGGGCAGGGGTCTCCATGGAGAAGGTGGATGTGAGTACTGGAGGACAGAGAGCCGAAGGAAGTGAGCCGGTGGCAGCTGATCTTTTCCCTATTCCGGCTGGGTAGGAAGGGACCCCGGTAGCATCCATATGAAATCTCTCTGGCTGCACTGTCAGAACCTTGAGTGGACAACAGAGCAGCTCAGACCCTCGCTCTGAACCTGAGAGCCAGCGTTAGCGCCTCACACCCAGCCCTCACACCTGACATCCCACCTATTGACGCAGTGTGGTGAGATGCCAGGCTGGCTGTAGACAAGGGAGCCTGGTAGGTAGAAACTGACCAGGGGGCTCTGTGTGCTCCTCCATGTCACATAAAAGTCATATGTGGGGGCTGCAGCTCAGCAGGCTAGAATGGAAGTTTCCATCCCTGCTGTACTCAGCTTAGCATAGCCTGGGACCCTACAAGTGCAAATATCAACTGGGCTTTATGAGCTTTAACCCATGCCTTTAATTTGGGAAGCTACTAAGTGGTAAACAAGTTTGACCTCAGTCTAAGCTCATAAGAGTGATAGGAATGGCATTGAGCCAGTATGCACACACCCAGTAAACAGCTACAGTGTAACTAGTGTATGGAGTCTTGTACCCAGTGAGTCTCACCAGGGACCTAGATTTTGGAGGGTGCCCTGGATTCCTCCAGCTGGAGCCAAGTCTACTGTGGCCTCGTACAAAGTGACAGGAATGGGACTCCCTGTAGACTGAAGGGGCGTAAGCATTTTCAAGTGCCTATTACTCTCTTATGCATTGCTCTGCCTGTGCTTATTCATGTGTCACTTTGTAGTAGGTGTGTAACCATTTGGCAGTATTACGTCTGTAAAAGTACTGACGTGGTGAGATTAATAAAAGCAACTATCCCTAATCGACTCTGTTGTGAAGCAAATCCATAATCCTATTTGGCCCTGGCAATTGACACCCCACACCTGTTAGCTGTGGGTCCCAACAAATGGGAAATTTGGAGCCATACTTGGGGCAGGGGCAGCCTGTGGAGCCATCCTAAATCCCCTCTGCCTACTGGAAATGGGCCCTCCCTCCCTCCCTGGGAGCCTCCTCACCCCGCTATGCCACCGAACAAAATACTGATGGCCCAGTTAATGGTGCTGACCACGGAGCCTCTTTTCAGCCAGGTGTTCTGGTCAGAAACCAGCCACCCGACACCCATAGATCAACCCTGCATTGCTGCTCTCCAGATTCATTAAACATTCCCAATTTCACTGGGGGCCAGATTCACAGGCAGGATTAAATCCCTTCCTTCCTCTTTTCTAGTTAGTGCTAGTGACAGGAGGACTGAGGGGGAAGGGCCCCTCCATCTACTTTTTTGAAAGTGAATGAACCTGGCCCATCCATTATCAGCCAGGGCTGCTCCCCTTCCTTTGCCCCACTGAGGCCCAACCCCAGGCAAGCCAAGAAGAGCCCCTAGCCTTTGTCCCTGCAGTCAGGCTGCCCACCTGGTCCAGGACATGTGGGGGTGGCCTCAGAGCCCCAGACTGGCCAGGGTAAAAGCCAATCAGGCAGCTGGGAGGATCCACTGAGCCTCCATGTGCCCTGGGCTAAGGGATACTGGGTTAGGGATAGTAGTCTGGGCTACTATCCTCAGGTACCCCTCACCATGGGCAGGCAGAGGGTCTGATCCAGAGCAGAGCTGAAATTAACTCCCATCTCCAGTAAGCAACACTGCAGAACCAGCAGTGAAGACACAGCTAGCTTGTCCCAGGGTTACATCGTAAGGGGCGGAGCCTTGCCAGCTTCCCCTTCAACCAATGGGACTGGAGTGTGTTCAGCTGTCATTCAACAACTCTCATGCACTGGTCTCCATTCATACAGCAGCTCAGGCCACTGTGAGGCTCAGGCTGCTGCCCAGCGCACACCTGGGATCTGGGACAGGGCAGCTCTAGGGCACTGGCCCATCCGCTGCCTTGCTCCTGTGAATGCTCCACTTTGCTAGGATCGAGCCTTTGCCCCAAAATCAGGTTTCAGTTTCCCATCTTTCGGGACTGGCTGATTTTCTGTAGGGCTGGACCTGGAGCCCAAGCACAGAGGTTTTTGGTCTGATGATGCCTCCCAGTAACAGACTCGGCCTGTTAGGTCAGGCAGCAGGGATAGTGTGACAGAGGGTTTGGAGCTTTTGCATAATCAAAAATTCAGTGGCCAGAATTTATCATGGATGTTTTCAGTGTAGTCGCCAAACCAGGAAAAATAGAGCGGCGGCTTTCTATTCAGGTAATTGTTTTATGTTGGAAAGAAAAAAAATAATAACATTTCCAAATGAAACCTTATTTTAAAGCAAAAAGCCAAATGGCTACGTTTTTCAAAGGTCACTAATGTCACTGTTCCACGCCTGAAGGACCAGAGTTCGACTCCCACCCATGTAATCTGCACTTTGAAATGGTGAATAGTGTCAGTTCCCTAGGCCTGAAGGATGTGGGTTTCACTCCCACCCATGGGGAGCTACTGTGGGACGCAGGGAGACCAGGCCTGCCTTTAGTCTAATGGACACCTGGCCAGGTGCTGCCATTAGGTTCAGGGATTAGGCTCCCGTGGAGGGTGGGGGGCTTATGGACAAGGCGGATGTGGGTGCTAGAGGGCAGAGTGCCAGAGGGAGAGAGCTGGTGGCAGCTGATCCTGTCACTATTCTGAGGTGGGGGGACAAATGGTACCATTCCCATGAAATCTCTCTGGCTACAGCATCATACCCTCGAGTGGACAGGAGAGCGGCTCAGACCCTCACTGTTGACTGGCAAGCCAGCGTTAGCGCCTCACGCCCTGGCCCCCTGACCCAGCGCGCACACCTACCTACGCAGTGCAATGGGACGTCAGGCTGGCTGCAGAGGAAGTAGCCTGACCGGCACATGCAGGTGTAATTTCCCAGCGTGTTGTTGCAGGTGGAGTCCTTGCCGCAGGGCGATGGGTTCCGGGGGCAATTGCCAATATCTGGCAGAGAGAAGCCAGGTCAGACATGCAGTTTAACTTATAGCTGCCGACTTCGTCGTTGCAGAAAATCAAACACGCTTGCCTTGCCCCCTCCAAAAGCCTTTTCCCAAGCCCCCATCCCTGCTGACTCCATTCCCTCCTCCCCCACCCTCGCTCACTTTCACCAGGCTGAGAAAGGGGGTGACGTGTGGAAGGGATGCAGGCTCTGGGCGGAGGCTGCAGGTTCTGGAGTGGGGTAAAAAATGAGGCACTTGGGGGCGTAAGACGGGGCTCTGGGCTGGAGCAGGAAGTTGGGGGACAGGGGAGAGTTTGGGGTGTGAGCTCCAAGCAGCACTCACCTCTGGTGGATCTAGGGAAGTCAGGAAGCAGTGACATGTCCCTTGACATAGGGAGGAGAACCAGGGGGCGCTGTGTGCTCCCCCAGACCTCCCATTAGCTGTGGGTCCCAGAGATGGGAGCTGTGGAGCTGGCACTTGGGGCAGGGGCAGCTTGTGGAGCCCTCCTAAATCCCCTCTGCCTACTGGACACAGCCACTTCCTCCCTCCCTGGGAGCCATGTGGAGCTGAATGGGGAACCTGCTCTCACCCTGTTGTGCCAACAACCGCACTGTTAACGGCCTGGTCGGTGGTGCTGATCACAGCTGCCGAGGCCCCTTTTCAGCCAGAAATCAGACACCCGCAGTTCAACCCTCACTGCTGCTCTCCAGTTTCATTGGTTGTCTCCGGCTCCACCGAGTCCCAGGGAGCCAAGTGATTAAATCCCTTCCTTGATCTTAGTCACATTTCCAGTTAGTGCCAATGAGAGCAGGACTGGGGGGGGGGAATCAAATCCCTCCCATTTTTCGAAAGTGAATGAGCCCGGCACATCCATTTTCTGCCAGGGTTGGCCCCCTACCGGCCTCTCCCAAGCCCACACCCTCCCGCCAGGCCAGAAGGGAGCCCGGTTTGTGGTAGCCAAGAGGACCCTACACACCAGCTCACAGCGCAGGGGCCCCAAGAAGAGCCCTTTGCCTCTGTCCCTGCCCCTGGGCTCCCCACCTGGCCCAGGGAGGAGGAGGCCTTGGAGCCACAGCCTGGCCATGGTAAGAGGCATGCAAGCCGCTGGGAGGGTCCATGGAGCCTCCACCTGCCCTGGGCAAAGGGATACAGGGTGGAGGACATTGGCCAGGGCCGCTTCGGGACACACCCTGTCAAGTGCCCTCGCGTACGCTGCAAGCTCAATGGCCTTCAAACAAGGAAGAGCAGTGTCTGCCCCTGCTAGGGCTCCCCATGACTCATTTGGATCTCAGTCACATTTGCACTGCACTGATGGATCAGGGAAGTCGGGGTCCTTTGAAGTGGTTACAAGCCAGGTTGGCAGGCGTCGTAGGAGCCCTGAAGAGCCCATTGTCTGTTCATGGCGCGCAAACCGATCCCCACACCCACTAGCTGCGAGAACCACGATGAAACCGCAAGCAGCATTGGACAACTCAGCCCCCCCAGCAGCGGAGCATGCGGCTTTCTACTGAGTGCAGAAAAGGAGGCGTGGACAGAGAGACAGAGAGGAAGTGGGGTGAGAAGTCCTTTGTCCTTTCAACGCCCCTCCAGCTGCAGGACACACAGGAGTTGGGATCTGGAGATTTTGCCCAGGTTTTCAGACATCAACTTACTAGCACTGGAGAACTGTTGAGTCCCCATGGAGTAGATGAGCCAGCAAAAACCTGAAAGAAACAACCAAGGATGTTCTTATGGCACTGGGCTTTATTCCCGTTCAACTGTCAGAGGCTGTACCACCTATTAGCTAGGGCACTGGGGCTGAGAGTTGGACCTTGGACAAGTCTTCACCCCCTTTCAGTTTCCCCTTTGTCCATCTCTTCTATTTCGACTATGTTCAAGGTGAGCTTTGAGACCACGCTGGACGTAACACAGGAAGGTCCCTGTTACAGGAGAGATCCCTAAGTACGTTCTATTACATTCCAGCTTGGATTTCCCCTTGATATTTTTTACCCACTTCCTCTTCTTGTCTCCCCCCCCCCCTTCCCCCATATTTATTTTGGTCCTGGACATCCAACACTGATCATCTGAAGAAGTGGGCTGTGCCCACAAAAGCTCATGACACCATCTCCACGTTTTGTTAGTTTTTAAAGTGCTACCAGACTGTTTGGGTTTTTTTTAAGTTTATCCTGTACAGGCTAACTTGGCTACCCCCTGAAGCTTACTTCTGGACCATCGTCTAGAGTTCCTAACAGGAATTATGGGTTTTCAGTGGGCTGAACCCTCTTGTGGGGAGAATGAGGACCTGTAGAACAGCAGGGTTGGAAGGATTCGATATTGAATAGGTAGATCTCAGTAAATGTCAGTTTTGCCCAACTGCACAAACCATGAAAAAGAAAAGAGGAGTTTGGGGAGAAGGAGGCTCTAGGCTGGGCAGAGAGTTGTGGTGCAGAAGAGAGTGAATTTGACTACGGGAAAAGGAAAGAAAAATGGTGCTAGCACACTTACAACAGTTCGATTTAAGGGTATCTACTTTGTATACTTTGATGTGACATTGAAAAATCCAAAGCTCTGTAGCTGTGAAAACGCCAGTTGACAATCTCAGTGTCTACAGGCATTAAATAAATATCGTCTGATACCCCCTTGCATGACCCCTTCAGCTTCCCACACTAAGAAAAATATCTTAGAATTGATAAAATTTTAAAAAATGCTTGAAAACAAATATCCATTGAATTTTTTGCAAGTGTTCTGCCAAGCCTACAAACCAGTGCGACTCTATGGACTTCAGAGCTGCAGCAACTCACAGACTAGTCTCAGCCCTCAAAACCCAAAGGGTACGTCTACACAGCACTGCTATTTCGGGATAATGTCCGTTATCCCAAAATAGTGTTGTGTGCATCTTAACAGCACTCCCGTCATTTCAAAATACATTCGAAATAAAAGGCATCTGATTCCAGCTTCCTGTAAAGCTCGTTGCACCAAGAATAAGGAAGACACTGGAATAGCATTCTATTTCAAAATAAACTACGTGATTTGCTTAGCTCAAGTTGCATAGCTTATTTCGAGCTACGTGCGACTGTGTAGACATACCCAAAGGGAGTGTTGTCTGAGTGAGCACTGTGGGAGGGGGTTGTTTAATTCTGTGTACTACCAGAGAGAGTCTCATGAGTTCACTCCTCCCATGGCCCAACATCCCCACCACATTTATCAAATCATCTCATGCCACCGTTTGAGAGTTGCATCTTCGTAACTTGCTGCCAGGGCCAGAGTACTTCTGTGTCTCTTTAATTGCCCCTCTGCTAACTTAGCTGAGCCTCAGAAGCATATTCTGAATCTGGCCATCTGAAGCTCTGCTGCTTAGCAAAAGCCTCTCCGGAGAGGGGGATTCAGGTGGAATTCTCAACAGTCTCCCTCTGGCCCCTGCACTGTAGCAGCCCTAGAGAATAGCAACTTGAAGCATCCGCATTCAGCTGGAACTAAGAGGCACATGGTGAGGATTCAAAAAGAAAGGGACCAAACCTTTTTGGATCAAAGATATCTGGGGCTTTGCATTTGAGACCCAGCAATTTGCAGCCTGTTACATGAGGGTTTTTCCGTTGTGGCTCCAATATGGCTGCACCTGAGAGGGAGGTTTCTAACCTTCCAAGGAGGGATGTTCTGAAATAGTTTTCCCGCTAGGACTAGTGGCGGCAAACACAGCTAGTCTGAAGAAGGGATGAATAGGATTATATGACAGGATTGAGGGCAACAGCAGGGGACTCACTGCCCCTTACTCCAGTTCCCCCCTTGCAGGCTGTCTGAGGGGAGGCCAGACTCCTGGGGCCACTTAGTATCATGTACCTCCCATCTCTGCCCTCCTCCTTCTCTAATATAGACAGACACAGACAGATTAATAATAAATCTACGCCCAGGCTAGCAACCAGGTGATTCAGAGATTTCTGAGGCCAGAAGAGATTGCTGTGATAATCTAGTCTTACCCTTACAGAACATGGGCCATAGAGCCCCAAATTAATTCCTGATTTGAGTCCAGTCGTTGTGGCTAAACTAGAACACGGTTTAGGAATAAACATCCAATCCGGAGATGGAGAATCCCCAACAACTTTTTGTAAGTTGTTCCTGTGCTTAAAGACCCTGATTGCTAAAAATAATTGCACCTTATGTCCAGTGTGAGGTCGTCTAGCTTCAGCTCTCAGACTTAGAGTATTCTCAGTCCTTTGTCAAATAGATTGAAGGGCCCTCAGTGATGGGCTGGGGCACAGAGGTCCCCTCGGGATTGTCACTTGGTGTGCTGATCATAACACTGAGCCTGCCTACCTGCCCTCTAGAGCCCCCACCACCCTGCCTCTGGGGCCAGAAGCTTTAGTCTCCCCCAGAAACTGCAGACAGCTGGAACACCAGGTGTCATCTCACAGGGCCATGGCCAAACAGGATTATGGATTCAGTTCACACAGACCCAATTAGGGATATTTGCTTTTATTAATTTCACTATGCCACTACTATTACAGGGTTAATGCTGCCCTATGGTTACACAGCTACTACAAAGTGACATCAGTAAGCACAAGCAGAGCAATGCTTAAGAGTGTAACAGGCACTTAGAAATGCTTATGTCCCTTCAGTCCGCTGGGAGGTGCGTTCCTGTCACCTTGCACCAAGCCGCAGTAAATGTGGCTCCAGCTGGGGGAATCCAGGGCACCCTTCAAGGTCTAGGTCCCTGCTGAAACTCACCAGGGATGGGACTCCCTACACTAGTTATGCTACAGTTGTTTACCAGGTGTGCACATACTGGGTCAATGTCATTCTTATCACTCTTTGAGCTGAGACCGAGGTCAAACTTTATCACTTAGTAGTTTCTCAACTCAAGTGCATCCATTAAAACTGATAAGGGCCAGCTGCTGTTTGCACAGGGTCTCAGGCTATGTACTTCAGGGATGGAAACTATCCTGGGTCTGCTAACCTACAGGACCCACATATGACTTTTTAATATGACGACATATTTTTCTGCTGTACATTCTGGGTTCCCACCCCTCTTCCCCCGCTCCAGCTCATCTGAAGAGGTGAACTCTGTTAGTCTACGGGCACATTTACACTGAAGGGCAAAAGTCGAATTAAGCTATACAACTTCAGCTACAGCAATTGCGCAGCTAAAGTCAAAATAGCTTAATTCAACTTTTGGGGTTGTCTACACAGCAGGAAGTTGAAAGAAGAACACTTTTCCTTCAACTTCCCTTACTCCTTGTGAAATGAGGGTTACAGGAGTCCTCCAGCTCAACATTATTTCAAAATAATGAATTGCTATTAAGATGCACTTTGTGTTATTTTGAAACAACAGCAGTATTATTTCAGAATAATTGATGTTTAGACATACCCTAAGGTGCCACAGGACTACTTCTTGTTTTTCAAGTTACAGACTAAGAAGGCTTTATCAATGGGAGACATGCACAGATAACATGTTGCAGGTAACAATTATTTAAATTGGGTTATTTGGCCTGTTTTGCATAAAGCATATCTAAATTATGCATATTCACATGTAAAACATTTACATAAAAATATAAAAGCATCATGTCACACCCTCTCATTAAATCACTGTTCCCCAAGAAGCTGTTTTTAGGCAGGTCACCCCTTTTTGGTGTTTTTAGACAGGCTTTTTGGTAAGCTACATAGGTTGAGCTACTGGAGTCTCTCACTACGCAGCATGATTAGAGGATGGACAATAGTCTCATGTCTTCAACATTCGTGAGCTGTGGGCACAAGGACTGGACCCAGGATTCAGCTGCTGTTGCATGAGGATGACATAGAGATAAAATAACCTCTCTGCTTCTATTCAGTATCCCCCTGTTATCCATCAAAGGACCAACACGGCGGGGTTGCATTCAGTTCATTATCCACTATGGCTTCAAGCCTTCTTCTGTCACTGCTTCCTAGGACAGAGTCCCCACCCTGCAAGTACAGCCTAGACCTAGTGTTTGGCCATAGTAAGACACATAGTATTGGATTGCTCCTAGTGATCCAAACCCCTCTGTGTCAGTGACCGGTCTTCATTATTAATCACTGTCCCAGTCCCTGGGACATCCCCGCTCCACTGAATGTGAGCTCCCAAAAGAGCTAATGTGATCCAGGGATGCATGAACAGGGGACTCAATAGGGGCAGAGGGTTATTTTAGCTCTGAATGTGGCACGAGCTGCTGGAATCCAGATTCCAGATCTCCTACTCAGTCTTCAAATAGGAAGGTGAGAAAGAGGGGAAGGGTTAGAAAGAGAGAATTAGATCTATTTACCTTAACAAACAGCAAGTGGAGTGACCTGATTGCCAGCTATAGGCATGTACATGGGGTACAGATATTTCATCAAGGGCTCTTCAACATAGCAGAGAAAGGCGAACACAACCCAGTGGTAGGAAGTTGAAACAAGACAAATTCAGACTGGTCAGATGTATTTCTAAAGATCTATGGAGACAGGATGCCGAGCAAGATGCTCACGCTAGTCCCTTTTGGGTTTGGGTACTATCTATCTTTTTCATGAGTCCCCTAGTTGCTGCAGGACTATTGGTTGTTATTTAAGTTTTTTTTCCAATTACAGGCTAACACAGCTACCCATCTGAAACTTATGGTCCTATTAAGTTGGCCAGGGAGTATTTTATATTCTCTTCCAGTTTGTGGATAAAACGAGCATTCATTTCAAGAGTCGCAGGTCTGGGCTGAACACCCATCAATGAATGACCCTGCAAAGATCCCAGCACAATTGTTATGGCAGCAGCTGGTCATGGACTCTTATGGTAGCTGATGTACAAATATAACAAAGACAAGCCCCTGCCCTGGGTTGCTTATTTTTTTGGTAACCCCCCTTACTGTAAGAAAATAACTCAATTCAATTCAGACTTACCCAGGAGGTGGGTGATAAGCTGCCCCATGGTGTCACTGCCTTGTGCTATGAGGCAAGAAAGCAGCACCAGTTTATCCTGCTGGGATCTCTCACAGGAAGTTTGAGTGACACAGTTTTTACCAGGGTATCTTATCTCAGTACCTTATCTCAGCTGTGTCAGTCAAGACACTGCACCTCCCCTACACAGGATAGGCTCTAGGCTTCTAGAGAACATTTATTCTGAGGGTAAACCTACCTCTAGTGGTGCTGCCACTGGGGGAGCTGAAAGTAGCAATAACCAATACCACATGCATGGTTTCCATCAGCAGCCTCCTTTCCCCCAGCTCCCTTCTCTATAAAAAGTGTTCCAACTCCCCACCCACTTCCCTGCAATCTAACAGAAGTAAAGTAACAGGGGAAATTACACTCCTTGCTTTTCAGGAACTGAAACTGGCTAATAATAGTTGTGGGACACAAAGGCTTTAAACAACTTCCTAAATAGTTCTTGGAAGCAAAACTCTCCCACTACAGCTCTACGGCCAACTTCTCTGCTAGCAGAGCACCACCAAAATCAGAACCCCATCCATTTTAAGGCCATTTCTCTGCTAGCAGAGCACCACCAAAATCAGAGCATCATTCATTTTAAGGCCATGCAAGCTCAAGGTTTATCAACCAAATCTGTCCAAGTTGCTTGGACACTCCACAAACTCACCAAAGCGAAGCAAAACTTCCAACTGGAGCATCTACCTGGCCACAGCTCCCAAGACTTCCTACTTAGTGTCCCAGCTCCAGGACCCTGCCCCTTTCCGCAGCTTTTCTCCACCCATCATCAGCCCCTTTCCCACAGCTCTTAATAGAGAACACAGGCCCCTTTCTCAGCTGCATGTGATTAGTGACCAAGGCTGGCTGGACTCCAGACTCTGGCCTTTAAAGGAGCAGGTGTCCCCTCCCATTACAGACCATTGTGATCTTCTTGGCTGACCTGCATCCTGCAGTCCTGCTTCCTCTAGGTTGTCTGCCTGCTGTGTAACTCCTAATTGGCCAAGGTTGCAAGCCTTTTTACAGAGGCCCCCGCCTGCAAGCAGGATCAGGGCAACCCTTATGAATTTAAAGTGATAGATCATCATTTTCTAGTAGTGGTCTCACCAAAGGCCGTATATATTCCCTGCATATACAGTGTAGGATCATGTTCACCCGCTTAGCTACAGCACCATGGGGGGGGGGGTTGCATATTTTGAAAATGACCACACCATCGCTGGGAACTACAGGAGGCTCAGTCCCCAAACTGGGCACTCCCCTCCCCCAAGACACCCCACCCGTAAGCAGGGACAATCTGAACATTGTCATCTTGGCTATTGAGTGGGCACTCCCCTCCCCCAAGACACCCCACCCCTAAGCAGGGACAATCTGAACATTGGCATCTTGGATATTGAGAGTTAAAATGGGAAGAGGAAGTCCTGAGCCAAGCAAAATACCATCTGAGTAGGAGCAGATTCACAGGATCCCAGGCCAGCAGGGACAAATGTGACCATCTCGTCTGACCCCCGGGATCACAGAGTCCTGAGAACCTCCCCAGAATCATTCCTTAGGAAGATCCTTTAGAAAAGCCTCCAATCTCAGTTTAAAATGGTCAGTGACAGAGACTCCAGTGGACCCTTGGCAAGCTGTACCTCTGGTTAACTGTCGAAAATACCTTCCTTCCAGTCTGAATTTGTCTAGCTTCGCTTCTTGCCTTTGGCTCAGGTTAGCCCTTGCTCTGGTCAATTGAAGAGCTCCTTATTAAGTATTTCTCCCCCATGTAGACCCTGCCAGGCTGTAATCAAGTCACCCCTTGCCTGTCTCTTTGTTCAGCTAGTGTTGTTGTTAGTGCTAAGGAAAGGGCTAGGTTGGATATTAAGAACAACTATTTCCCTAGGAGGGTGGGGAAGCACTGGGATGGGTTCCCTAGGGAGGGGGTGGAATCTCCATCCCTAGAGGTTTTTAAGTCCCAGCTTCACAAAGCCCTGGCTGGGATATTTAGTTGGGTTTGCTCTTGCTTTGAGCTGGGGGTCAGATGAGATGACTTCCTCAGGTTTTTTTCAACCGTAGGATTCTAGGATTCTAAGCCAGGCCTACACGAGATAAAGATCTGGCCAAGGGAGAGGGGGAGGGCCAGGGGTGGTGTGGGAATAAGTCACATGGTGGGGAGTAAACACATGGCCATGCCCACTCCCTGTATCCTCCCTTTCCAGTTGCCCCTGGATCTGGCCTTCCTGGTTTCCATACGTCTCTCCAAACTTAATGGCTACGTCTAGACTGGCATGATTTTCCACAAATGCTTTTAATGGAAAAGTTTTTCTGTTAAAAGCATTTGCGGAAAAGAGCATCTAGATTGGCACGGACGCTTTTCCGCTAGACGCACTTTTAGGCAAGAAAGCCCTGATCGCCATTTTCGCGATCGGGGCTTTTTTGCGCTAAACAATACCGCGTTGTCTACACTGGCCCTCTTGCGCAAAAGCATTTGCACAAGAGGGCTTTTGCCCGAACGGGAGCAGCATAGCATTTCCGCAAGAACACTGACAATCTTACGTGAGATCATCAGTGCTCTTGCAGAAATTCAAATGGCCAGTGTAGACAGCTGGCAAATTTTTCCACAAAAGCAGCTGCTTTTGTGGAAAAACTTGCCGGTCTAGACGTAGCCATTGAATGGGTATAATTTTTTGGACAAGTGACTACCATTAAATTTTAGCAGTAGTTTGGGGATAGTGGTCCCTCTACTGAGCTGGGGCTGGGGCTGGGAATGAGGGGCGGATGTAACTCTATCTCCCCCCATCTCTGGAACCAGTGAGCTGGGGCTGGAAAGAAGGTGAGGGCAGGTGTCTTCCCCTGGCACATCAGCTACAGAGCTGAGGTGGGGAGGAGAGCTGTCTCTCCCCAGCAGCTGTAGCCCTCCATATCCCAAATTTCCCTCATCCCCTCTTCTCACCCCATTTCTTCCCCACCTCACCCCACTGCCCCCTCCCACCTACCTTCTATTTCTCTCAAGGACACCATCTCACCTTCCACATGTGTCTTCTCCAGGGTCCAGGCACCTCATTAGTGGAGCCACACCTGCACGGCGCCACTAACGAGGTGGGCAGCTCTTCATCTGCTTTCGTGTGGCTGTAGAGGGAATTATGGGTGGACTGCCTGAATGGAGCTCGTGGACCAGAGGCCACAATCTGAGAACCAATGGCCTAGATAGTGCTTGGTCCTGCCATGGGTGCAGGGGACCGGACTGGATGATCTACTGAGATACCTTCCTGCTCTACGATTGATGCCTATAACAAATACTCCATTAGCCTCCAGCATTTCTGCTTGGGTCCAAGGCAGCAAAGAACATGTTAGAATCACAGAGCTGGAGGAGACCTCAGGAGGTCATCAAGTCCAGCCCCCTGCCCAAGGCAGGACCAATCCCAACTAAATCAGTCCAGCCAGCGCTTTGTCAAGCCGAGACAAAGGATGGAGACTCCCTAGGGAACCCATCCCAGTACTTCCCCACCCTCCTAGTGAAATTTTTTTCCCTAATATCTAACCTAGACCTCCTCCATTGTAACTTGAGTCTATTGTCCATTTTGGTTGCTCTCTGCTGGACCCCCTCCAATGGGTCCACATCTTTTCTATAGTGGGGGCCCTAGAACAGAAATGAGGTTTACTGGAGCGGTCGACAAAGGCTTCCCTTGTTGATCGTGGCACATCTAGACTGACCTGCTGTGCCGGATCAGCTGATCATTGGCACAGCACCTCAGCCGTTTTTATTTTCATGAAGCGGGGATTATTTAAATCCCTGCTTCTTTGCCTATGCCGAATAAACTATTTTACACAGCTCTGTCGACGGAGCCATGTAGTCTAGACATAGCCCAAGGTAGGACCAATCCCAATTAAATCAACCCAGCCAGGGCTTAGTCAAGCCAAGACTTGAAAACCTCTAGGGATGGAGATTCCACCCCCTCCATAGGGTACCCATTCCAGGGAAATAGTTTTTCCTAATATCCAACCTAGACCTTTCCCACTGTAACTTCAGATCATTGTCCATTTTGGTCGCTCTTCCAATGCATCCACATCCTTTCTATAGTGGGGGCCCCAGAACTGGACACAATACTCCAGATGCAATGCGGTTGTTTGTCTGCTCTGGCCCATGGTTTGTCCTCTCCCCTCCTCTTTTTCTGACTACAGCCTAGAGAATCTCTATCAATGGATTCTCCTCTAAGAGAAGTCTCCATCCGGTTTATGTGCATCTCCGCACCAATCGGCTTTCCCCCATCTCTTAGTTTAAAAACTGCTCTGCGGCCTTTTTAATGTTTAGTGCCAGCAGTCTGGTTCCACCCTGGTTTAGGTGGAGCCCATCCTTCCTGTATAGGCTACCCCTCTCCCAAAAGTGTCCCCAGTTCCTAATAAATCCAAACCCCTCTTCCCTACA